ACTTTTAAATTAAAGTTATAAAATAATTAAAAAATATATATATTAATATTGATGGTTTTTAATTTAAATATTATAGATTTAACTATCATTATTATATCATTAAATAAACAATGTTTTATATCAAATATTTTTTATTATTTTATTAATTTATTTATAATTTCATCTAATAATAATTATAGTTTCAATGGCTTTTTGAGCATATAACAAAATTGGATAAAATATCATTAAAAATAAAATTAAAACTATGATTAAATTCCACAAATACTACGTTATCATGTCATCATGTAATATCTTTTAATTTATATAATGTTATTAAATAATATTAAATATAAATTTTTTAAATAAAACATAATTAAAAAAAATAATTTTTTTACCCAATCAAATGCAGTTCAATAAACAATAAAGACCCTGTATCACATAAACATTAACAAATAAAATTCACAGTACTGTTCACTTAAAAAAAATAAAAAATACCAAGATGAATTATTCACTTAACATAAACGAGGCAGAACAAAGACGCACCTCTCAGCTCTGTGCACAAACCAACCAGCATTTTTAACATAAAATATATAGGTATATATAAACAGTAAATTAAATTTGTGCATTAACAAATATATTACTTACACGATTTGCTTTAAAAACTAAATCAACCGCGTAAAGAAACACCGTCTAGTGGAAAAAAATGCAGCGATCTATAACGCCAATTATCAGCACTTTAATGCGAAGTAATGTAGAAGCTTCCTTTTCTTTTGATAAATTATTTTTTCCACGAAGACTTGGCAACGGGAAACATTGTGGTGGATTCCTTCCAACGTTGACTCGTACAAGTGGTGGAAGACTTGGTCTAGACGGCAGGTCGTGTCCTTTTATACCCCGCCATGACATGTATCACGATGACAAATCTCCTACAGGAGTTCTATCTTGTAATGATCACCGCACCATGCAAACAAACAAGCCTATATGGCCTGGTCAAGCGGGAAAACAAAGAACGAGAGGCCCAGAAACCACCATCATTTTCAACACAAGAGAGTCATTCAATGTCTACAAATTTTCACACCCACATCTTCTAATTTTGGATTTTAATGAAGTTGCATTTGTACTTAATACTAAAAAAAATGTTAAAATTATGGGATTAATGATATATATATATATATAAATAGACAAGGTATTAAAAAAAATCTAATTGTTAAAATTACGGGATTAATGATATATATATATATATAACAATGAAATAGACAAGGTATTAAAAAAAATCTAATATCATAAACGTTAGGATAAATTTTTTTGATTTAAAATAAAATGAAAAATAAAGTAGTTGTAGTTTTTTTATTACACTAAAGCAAATAACATACAATATAACTTTTAATGTTAAGTATCTTATTAATCAAATAAAATCTTCTTTGATAGTCAGGTAGAAACACATGATAATCAGAGATTATAGATATTAATTATGTATTTAGTATTGTAATGCATGATATTTTTTAAAATAGTTTTTTTGATTAAAAATTTATTATTTTTTTGAATATTAATTTATTATTTTTCAAATAAAAAATAATCTATTAACGGACAAAAACAATAACTTAAAAAGTTAGATTTAGATATATTATCTCAACAAACCTTTAATCCCTCTAGTTTAAAAACCAAATATTCAATCCTTGTACTTACATATATCTATAGAATCGCCTCTTATTAATTTTCCATGACAATTTATTTATTTTTTCCTGACACATTTTCCATTCCTAGGTCAAAATTTCCAAGCACTAACAGAGTGAAATTAGAGTTTTGGACATTAAAAAAAGAATTAATGATCAACTTTGATCAAAGTAATAACTTATAATTTTCTAAGCTAGAAGGATTAAGTCATAAAAAAATAAAAATAACAAGGACTAAAATACAATCTAATTCCATAATGAGCCAATAAAAACAGCAAAAGACTTCGATCACAACTTCCCAGCAAAACACACAAGCAAACCACTTCTACAGTTCCACTCCTCCTCCTCCTCCTCCTCTTTCACTCCCTCTCTCCACTGCCAGTCATGAAATTCCCATCTCTGAACCAAACGTCTCCACTCCCAAATATCTCCTTCACTTGCAATTCCTACCTCACTTTCTTGTGACATCAAGCTTTCTTTTCAAATATTTATTTTAGTTTTATCTAAGCTAACAAAGAAAAAAAACTTGTCTTTGTTCTACAAACTCATCCAAAATTTCATTTTTATTTATTGATCTTTATACTTTCTTTATTTCTCTTGTGATGCACATATTTCTTGAAACTAAAAATGAATCTGATGCAAATACTCTATGGGAAAATTAAGCAGTGCCCATAACTCGGTTTTCATTGTGCCAATGAAAAGGTCAGCTCCTCCACTTTTTAGTGTTCTACTGCTCATTATATTTTCTCTGACCCTCAGTTCAAGGATCCTAGTCCGACGCGGTGGTGGGTTTAGCTCCATTGAGGTGGAGGAACCCAGTTTGATTTTAAGGAAAAAAGTTCCGGTTTTTAATTCTACGCTGCTGAAATACGCGGCTATTGACGTAGGAGAAGCACAAGCCAAGAATGAAATAAAAGAGTTACTAGAAGGGAACTTTGATAGTCGAGGAAGGTATAGGTTTAGTGTTAAAGCAAGAAAGTCTAAGGGTATTTTAACAATGCTTAGGTCCCCTCAGTTTTATAGGAATTGGTTAGATTTTAGGAGGGTTTTACATGATTGGTCGCGAAAGAAGAGGTATCAGCCTGAAATAATGGATGAATTAATAGGGCTTGTGAAGGGTCCTATCGATAGGCATGATGGATTGGTGGTTTCGGAAAGGCGGTATGGTTCTTGTGCTGTAGTTGGGAATAGTGGGATTTTGATGCAGAAAGAGTATGGAGAGTTGATTGATCGTCATGAGGTTGTAATCCGATTGAACAATGCGAGGACGGAGACATATGAGCGAAATGTGGGGGTCAAAACTAATATTTCTTTTGTAAATAGCAATATTTTGCATCTTTGTGGAAGGAGGCGAGGTTGTTTTTGTCATCCATATGGGGCTAATGTCCCTATGGTTATGTATATTTGTCAGCCAGCACATTTCTTGGATTATACTGTTTGTAATTCATCTCACATCGCGCCTTTGATTGTCACTGATCCGCGCTTTGATGTACTGTGTGCGAGGATTGTGAAATATTATTCGCTGAAACGTTTTGTGGAGGAGACAAGGAAGTCATTGGATGAATGGGCCTCTGTTCATGATGGTTCCATGTTCCACTACTCATCTGGTTTGCAAGCTGTAATGCTTGCAGTGGGGATTTGTGACAAAGTTGGTATTTTTGGGTTTGGAAAATCAGCTTCAGCTAGGCATCATTATCATACTAATCAAAAGGCTGAGCTTAAGTTACATGATTACGAGGCAGAGTATGATTTTTATCACGATTTGGTGAACAATCCACAGGCAATACCTTTCATTATGGACACGTTTAAGTTTCCTACTGCTATAGTTTATCAATGATCTTTCAGATGCTGAATCTTTTGTTGATGCGGGATTGATTGATTAGTTGTGAAATTTCTGTATTGTTGCTGGTTCTACGAGTTGGTTATGAAAACACAGTAGTCGAATATTTCCGTCGCATATGCTGACCCTGTACTATCTAAGATAGTGGCAATACTGGAATCTAAGAAATTTGATCTATGGTCTCAATTGCTTTTTATGTAGCCGCTGAGAAATACAGGTCGTATTTTTTAAAAAATTTAAATTTTATTTATTAAAAATTAATTTTTTATATTTAGAATTGTTTTGATCTACTTGATTTTAAAAATATTTTTTTAAAATAAAAATAATTATTTTGATATATTTTAATATGAAAAACACTTTAAAAAACAATCACAACCATATTCACAAATACCCTTAAAAATGCTTTTTTTTTATAATACGATTTATATTATTTTTTAATATATTATTTTAAATAATAATATTTTAAATTTATAATTTGTATAAAGTCATACTATATTATATTTATTTTTTATCAAATAAATAATAATACTAAAAATAGAACTTATAATTGCTTAATCATTAAGGTTTATGTTAAAACAAATTCAACTTAGTAGTTTAAATATGTTAAAGAATTATTTTAATTTAAAAATTTAAGTTTTAAAATAAAATTCAAAAAATAATTTATATTATTTTAAATAAAAGATACTCTTTTTTATTATCGTGTCAATACCTGTTTATAAGAGCTTAGATATGCACGTATCACTGTGGGTTTTCTGTTGGGAATATCTGGAGGAATATTTCAATATGAATATTTTTCTCACTTGAAGTCACTTGCAGGTTATGAATCTGAAAGATTTTGTCAATTTTGCACTGCCTTTATCAAGTTAAACTTGTAAGTTGATTGGAACATTCAGAAGCAACGATAAATTATGGTTGAGATGCGGGCAAGGCTCAAGTTCTCATGTGCTGTTATTGTATACCTTGATGAGGTTCGACAACTCCTACGCATTATATATTTTGGCAGGCATGTTCATGTGAAATCACTGCTGGGTCTTGGATAATATGGTCAGTAGAAAGCAGTAAATTTCACTAATTTATGGAGAAAACAGTGTTTTACTAAACCAATTCTGGCAGTTTGTGTAGCGCAGTACCCTTTAGCTCGGGTAGTAGCAAAACTTGGTGAATCTTTTTGCTGTTTTTAACTTATCTCGTCTTTTTTACTCCAATTCAAGTAATTTACAACTCGAATTTAACCCTACGTTCATGTCTAAAGTATGAGCTCATAACAGATAGCCTTGTATGTATTTCCTGGGAGTTTTTGGCATAGCAACAATTAAGCCGACCCAAATAGGTGGGAGGTTTTTGGTGCAGCAACAATTAAGCCGGCAATGGATATCAGGTCCTCCTCCTTGTACATTTCTTTCAAAGAAAAGGCATTAATATTTTTTTTTAAATTATTTTTTTCATAGGCATATCTGAAAAAATATATTTTTTATTTTAAACAAAAAAAAAATTCAAAATTTATGCAACCCAAATACTCTAGAAAACAATTGGTTCCCTCAATTCCCCCGCCAAGTCCAGCACCCTCTTTAGTATTTCTTCTCCAGAGAGAATAAAATTAGCAAAATGTATTTTCACATTGATAAGTTTTATATTGCCAAATGATCCACTCAGAGATGAACCAAGAAATTTTGTGCTTCACCCCAGAAGTAGAAAGGCTACAGACGGCTATGCTATTGTAACAACAATTTAAAGCGCAGGTTCTGATGATTATATGCAGCACAAAATCCTTCACCATCCACTCCCATTGAAAAGCTTCGGATTTTACCCCAAGGGCCCATCCAAGAAGATGGCAAAAAGCGGCAACAAAGACAAAAAGGTCTGTACATAACCCTTCTTTGCTCTTTGCCCGGCTCGCTCCTTGGCCTTTCCCTTTTCTCAAGGCTCTGTAGTATCTAGCTCAGCACCCATCTCCTCGTACTTGACCTCCACCAAGAATCTTATTCTCGTCTGAAATCCAAACATTTTACAAAAGTAAATACCAAATAAAAGAAACTGCTGTCACTGAAACTTGCTTGTAAGCTGTGTTTTCAGCATATTATACCTGTTTTGGATCATAAACAGCATATTCATTGTATTCAAGAGGGCTGTCTCGATGCTCTGACGGAATCAAGCGACCACAAGGAACTTTGATGTCATCCTTCCACATAAAATGTTCAGATTCATCTGTTTTCTTTTTGCCCAATCCCTTCACCCCCAGCTTCTTCTCTTCCAACGACTTCGTATCCTGCCTCGATCGAAATAAATTTTCAGGATTCCAGGAGAGTTATAGCCAATTTTTCCATTCAAGCTGGAAATAACATTCACATACCTCTGGTGGGCTCTTCACTTCTATGATCTGATCCCCGAGAGAAGCAACAGCTAGAACTAAAAATCCTTCTGGCCTTTCTACTGAGGTAAAACCATACTTAGCAGCTTCCGCAGCAGCATCAGAACAAACAATTGCCTTCCCGAACTGTAAGCCAAACGAATATTTCAGTGCCAAGATTAGAATATTGATGCATGCTTAAATTGAAGCCATTGATATTACCATGTAACCGGGTACTGGAAGAGAACAGACTGACGGCAGAAATCCTTTTTGCAAATGCCTTAACATGTTTGAACTTCGAGTGCCTAAGAGAGCAATAAACAAAAGTTGGTAGTAGTCTCTGCTAGAACAAGGATGCACGGTCGATTCGGACTGAAATCTTACCACACCATAGCAGTACTTTGTTTGGCAACTTCTTTATTTCATCCAAAGAAGGACAAGCATTTGGTTCCACAGAAAAAATATTCTCAACTGATACACCATAGTCCTATATCAAAAATTTAAACATTGTAAAATTGATAACATGGTACATCAGAATTGATTGCATTAAGCGATGTTAAGATGTGCAATCTCACAGTGTCTCCGACTCTGACTGGTTCATAAGTTGTGTCCAGGTACTTCACAATCATCTTGTAGTCATCAAAATCTTTCTCTAGTGCAGAAACTGAGCAGCCCAATTTCTTGTATCTATCTGACAACGGATCATCTAGGGTTGAGCCAAACATGTCTCCGACAAGGCGTGATGCCACATTTATGTCTCGGACAGTCTCAAATGCAGCTGCACCCTAAAAATCCAATCCGTAATCATGCATTAGTGTCCAATTTAGAGGGACTTAGAATCGATAGGAAGCTTGGGCTGGCCTTACATGATCTGCAATATCCTGATAGTCTCTGAAGACGAAAGGCCTAGTTGAATGCAGAAGAGTAGACCATCTTTGGCTATAATCTGACCAAACAGCCTCAGCCTTTTGTCCTGTCTCTTTCATTGACTTCACAGCTTCTGCAAACTGAAGCAGGACCTCCTCACCTGATGAGATTAGTTTGTTATTCGCGCGAGGGAAAAGGAAAAGGAAAGGGTGGAAACGAAAGGAAAATCCTTACATCTTTCCAAGTGTAAATCTGAAAGCATCCCCGTTGGCAAGTCGGGAGAGTCTAAACCTATCTCCATCGTAGCATACCTGCCAAACAATAAACAAGATTATCTAAAACAAAAGAAATTGTACAGAAAGCAGATGGAGATGGAACTATCTATAGAAGGATCATACTTGTATATCTCCTGACTGCACAAAATCTTCATAAAATAAGCAATTTTGGGTTCAAGGCTGCTGTGCGCGGCTGCAACTCCTAGCTGCCTTAGTCCAAGCCCTCCATGTCTCACATCCATACCATCGTCCTATCCAAACAAAATCCCAATCAAGCAACCATCCATCGATCCATCCATCCATCCATCTATATATATTTAAGAAAAAGCAAGGTAGAAAATTAATCCACCCAATGAGTTATAACAGAAGCATTTTTGTACCATGTCAATCGGATAGAAATAGAGTCGTTTTTTCTCGAACTTCTTCTCTCTTTCCCATGGCTCAAACTCATTTCCTGTAAGTTCCACAAAGAGCCTAACAAACTCCTTAATAGCATTTTCCACATTTTCCCATTCTTCAAGCCTCTCCTCCGCATTTGCATCATCACCTACTTTCCCCTTCTTGTAGTAGGAATGCAAGTTACTATCTGGTACTGTGATCAATTGCATGATACAATACCTACACCAGTTAACATGAAACATAAGCTCAGGTAGTTATAGAAAAATCAATTAAGATCAACAGTTCTTTCATATTATGTACTCGTTCAGTCCTCGGCCCACGTCACAAAGTGAGAAGGCACAGTTGTACAATATCCCATCTTTCTCAAATATCTGTCCACCACGTTCCTGCATTCTAGTATCTTTGTAGACTCCTCTCTTGCCATATAGTTTAAGCTGAAATACACAGAAACGATCTGCTGATTAGGAGAAGATTTATTTCCTAGGAGTCATTCGTAGAAGCTAAGAGTAAAAAAGCCCTTTACTTCGGCTGAAATAGACACCAGAGCCTCTTCACTGGGATCTTGTTTGTCCCATGGAATTCCGTTTCCCTCCACAGAAAGATCAGAAACAACATCATATGCTTCCATTGGCTGCGGTTCTTGCTTTTCAATGCTGTCAAGCAACCAATCTTCTCTTACTACAGGTATGCCCGCCTCCCTTTATGAGAATAAAAAAAAAGCAGCCTTAAAAACACGTTTATTTTTGCATTTTTAAAAAAAATATTTTTAAAAATTAATATTTTTAAGTGTTTTTAAATTGTTTTAATATGCTAATTGTAAAAATAATAAATTTATTTTTTAGTGTTTTTTCTTTGATATGCTAATCTTAAAAATAAATTTTAAAAAATAAAAAATATTATTTTAATATATTTCTAAATATATATAAAAAATACTATAAAAATCAACTACTATCGCAATAACAAAAAGCTATTAAAAGCTGATGATCCCAATTTTTTTAGCAGGTCACATTTTGAAGTACAGTACAGTGATTGACACACATACATATTATAAGAGAAATCTATGATGAAAGCTAACGAATACAGAGAAAGTATTCTGTACGAATGGAAAAGGCATGTTAATTTAACTTGTCGAAACAACAAAGACCAAATGTTCTGCATTAGAGATTTGTTTGGGAGCATGAATATCCCATATTTTATCAGTCTGCAGATACAGTCGTTAGCCCAAACAAATTTCTGAACTCACAGGGCATCGGCAAGCTTCGTAGAACCACCACGTTCTCTCTCAGCAGGTGACACAACTAGGCAAGTAATGCCTGCGGAGTTAAAAAAATGTTGGTGAGAGAAATGATATCAACACAAGAATCCATGCAAACTCATAAACCACACCTTTCAGAGTGAATTAATTACCTTTGACTGAACTAGAAACCTTCCCTCCATGTTTCTCAATCTCCATTTTCCAGTATTGCTGCATAAACCAACACAAGTTCAAATACAATTACCAATGCAGACGTACCAGGAAACCACAGAACCAAAATTAGAACAGTGAACATACATGTGTTCGCGAAAGACGGCCTGATAAAGAGACCACTATTCCTGCCAAAGGTTTAATTGGGGCACCCTGACAAGGCCGGCGACTGGGATCCTGATGCTTCTTTAGCAACTGAAGTATTAGAGAACAAGTACATTCAACAAAACGAAAGTGGAAGCACAAAACAAAAATTTTCCGTGATAGAAGTGAAAGTTACTTCTGCAACTGAGGAGTTGAGAACAGAATCAGGTAATTTGAGTGGCTCCTCTTTCCTTGGTGGATTTCTTGTTTTGAATGTGCAGCCAGACCACTCACTGTAAAACCCTTTACAAGAACACCTTTTACCATCAAATTCCAAATTGCTGCTGCATAATGGGCACTTGTCCAGTGGCCCAAAAAAGAGCACATCTTGGCTGCCCCACAAAAAAAAAAAAAAAGTCAACATTATCAGTGATAATTCCCGGCCAATTCTCATATTCTTAAAAGTTTTCAATTAAGCTGGGATTGACTTGCCATTTGGCAGTGACAACACCATCAGAGGCAGAGGAGGAATCTTCGTCATTCATATCCAAAATTTCTCTCATTTGTTCAACGGAAAGGTGCTCTTCAATTGCTTTACAAAACTCTTCATACTCTTTAGCAATATTATCCTCAGATTTCCCATTTGTACTATCATTTTGATCCTCTCCATTCTTTGCCTTCTTCTTTGGCGACTGTTCTCCTTCATGTGCCTTGCTTTGACCTACCTTCTGCTTCCTTGTCATTATCCTGCTTTCATCAGATGGTGCATGAACTTGAGATCTTGTTTCGTGGACCTTTACACACATGCATGCAGGTAGTGTGAGTACAATATACAGAATTACAGAGTCCCTAACCTGCTCTAATCAAACAATACATATCTTATATTTCAATACGTGCAATATGCTAAAATTGGGAGATTGAAAATATCAACCAAGTAAAAGCCAAGGAATTAATTTCCATTAATTTGAGGTAAACCAAGCTGAGAATTTCAAGGAACAAGAACTAACCTTCATCTTTCTTTAGGATCCTTTCTGTATTCAAACTCGATCAACTTCCAACTCTAAAACCAAATCTTACTAGCATTTCAATATACCAAAACGATATAGCTAGACAAACTTTATAAACCCTTTTTACTTGACATTATTATACCCAGGTTTTTGTAATGACACGACCTTCTAAGCTAGACACGTATAATGATGGCTCTGTTACAAACCTCGTAGCTCTTCATGCTCTGTCATCCTCGAAACACGACATGTGGATCAAGGGGGTGTAAGAACTTGACACTTGTCCAATTGAGTTTCTTTAACATCTTCAGCCGTTGACAGGTGGTGATCTAGGCTGTTAATTAAATGTGATGGGAGTTTCATCTGGTTTCTTTAGTCTCTGCATGAGCCCATTGGGGCATGGTTTGATTCTCATCCGCAACTTGGTAGCTTCGTACCTCTCTGGACCAACACCTGGAGCATTAAGCGGAAGGCAGAGTTATATTCGGTTGTTCACAAGTCGAGGCACACTCAGGATGGTTATCACAGTTTTTTGCAAGAAGAGGTTTCTGATCTCTTCGTACATTGTTTAACTTTTAAATTAAAGTTTTAATTATACGAAAAAATTAAGGATATTTCAAGTTGATTAATGGATTTTAAAATATATTGAGAGTATAATTATGATTATTTTTTAAAATATTTTTTTATTTTAAAATATATGTTAATAACATTTTTTTTTATTTTTTAAAAATTATTTTTAAAAATAATAATATGAAAATATTAAAAATATATTAATTAAAAAAATTTAAATTTTTTAAAAATACTTTAAAAACAGTGTGAAACACACCCGTTTCTTCATACTTATTCAATTTTTAAGTGTTTTCTTTAATTTTCAAGAGTATTTTATAAAATTTATATGGTAGATCATTTGTTGTCTTCATTTTTTTTATATATAAAAAAAGGGTAAAAGAAAAGTAAAGGGGATCGTTTGATTTATCTTTCCGAGGTATGCCCATCCAATGCTATGGGATTTGTAGTGATTATTTTGAGGTTCTTGCTTGGGTTTGGAACATGGGAAAAGAACAAGCGTGAGAACTGGTAGCAAAACGCATAGCTATCTAATCCTGTCTACTCGGTGATCAATTTAGGCAAGACTAGCTCGGGAAATGACAGAATGGCCTGGCAAAGGGTCAGGTTTGTTTTCTAACTAAATTGGAACCTGGCTCAGTTAAATTTAAATGATTTAGTAAGTTAATTCAATCACCTTTAAGGAAACATTTGTTAACCCATCAGTTATCCAACCAACTCGCGGTTTGACCTAAGCTTTGTACTGGAACTTATAACTACAGTAAAACGGTGCTTTTGTAATAACTCTGTGGGCATCTAATGCTGGTTTTGAGAGGGGTTATTTTTTTGAAATAATACTACTCTGAGACCTATCAACAGAAGCATCTTTTTCTTTATACCCAGCCTATGAAGTTTCAGCTGTTCAGCATTCATTATAGGCTGAATAATTTCTCTGTTTCTAGGCTGGAAACAAGGTTAACACACCCTTCATTTGACATGAGATTAATCATATTCTCCACTCAGTTAAGTTTTGATTACAGAAGAAAACAATAAATACTTTCATAGGCTGAAAATGTGAACTCCATCTTTATTTATTCATACATATAGATGATGGCTTACAAATACAATTGCTTCTTAGGCAAATAGGTTGATGAACTACAAACAAGGTCTATATAACTAAGACCTCAGATTAAAAATTAAGCCATCATGCCTCAAAGCTAGTGCTGCGACTCTTGAAGGAGTTCTTTCTTGCAGTAGCAAGAACAGTCTTGTCAGCAACTATAAAATATGCCGCTCCAGCAACTGCAAGGAAATGTATAATTTCATCAATAAAAGAAGAAAATAAATGTTACCATGTGGATAATGCTTGTTTAATCTGGATAGCAATTAATTAATCACCTGTTGAAATTATGAGAGCTTGAGCTGTGTGATTCAGATTGGCTCTTGCCCATGGCAGCATCCTTGCACTAGCCAGCTACATGTTATATAAACACGTGTAGACTTTATAAGAATATATAAAAGAATTCTCTTGTTATTCATTGATTGAATTATTTATTTTTGTAATGAGTTGAATAAAGGATTGGCTTACAGTTGGAATAGCAGTGGCAATGGTAGCAAGTGCAGCTGCCTTCGCTCCTGCAACTACTCCCTCTATTGATCCATCAAAGACAAATTAGTTTTACAGATATAACTAAATTTTCTAGCATTAGAAACTAGCAACAAGCAAACTAAAAGGTACCGTGCGAACAGCGCTTTGCCAAGGCCAGCTTTTGGTCAAGTGAGGCTAAGCTATTTCTCTGAAGAGGAGGCTGAGCTCCAACATTCTTAGACATTGTAAGAGGTAAGTGAACAGATCAATGCTGCCTAGTTAATGAGAGAAGTTAGAGGAAGTTCGGGGAAAGTTTTGCATGATGAAATTAGCAAGATCTTGTTGCATATTTATATAGATTTTGAGGTAGTTGCGTAGAGGGACAGCCCCAGGTGTTCAAGTTAGTGTTTGACGGTTTCTAACATCAGTCACTTGTTTTTACTCTGGTTTCTGCTATGGTCGGTTGATTCCATTTTACTCGTCCCAAGATGTACTGATTGATGATGAAAAGAGGGGGGGTGGTTTGTCTGGAAATCATCTCCTAATTTTCCAATTGAATCCTCAAATAAAAATAATTTTCTTTCAATTAGATCCCTAACCTAGGGGCACCAGCCAATTAATCTGCACCTTAAATTCCCCCCTCTTAAAATCGTAAAACCGAGGAGTTATTTGGCTTAAAAACTCATCGTTTCTACCATAAATCTGAATCATGGATTATTTGGGAATTTTCTTATTAGGGATCCAATTGAGAACTTGGGATAGTTGGGGGATGGTATGTCTTTCTCCAAACAATTGAGAGCATGGTTGTTTGATAAAAACAAGGGGCATTGAGATACACACTCTTATTTTTTTTTTCTTTCAAAAAAATAATTATTATAAAACTTGCATCGACTTTACATGTCGAAGCTTGAACCGATTTAATTTGATTAAAAAAGGGACTCAGCTCTTAATTTAGTAATAGAAAAACATGTAAACGAGTGCATTCACTGAATTCAGACCGGAATCGGGTTTTACAGGTTCCAAAGCATCACTGACAGAAAAGAAAATCCATTCTGAATCTTTGGCACTTTTCTATTTTAATAAAGGCACATATTCTCAGAGGAAAAAATAGAGAGAGAGAGAGAGAGAGAGACAACACATGATCTTTCTTTTCCTCATGGCAGGTAGAACGCCACTGGTTTAATAAGCCTCTCATGTGCTTCGGATGCAAACGTACGTGTCCCAATTACCAAAGGGTAGACGAGACAGCCATCAAGTCTAAGAACATATCACTTCGCTTCTTGTTTGATTGGTTTCCGTTTCAGGTCATGGTTTTGGCTTGGGTGGGTGGCTGGTGGGCACTGTTGCGGTCTCAGCGGTTTTCTATATTGTGTTAAAAACTGTTTTTTCAAGTATATTTGGGAAGAATGAGATGTATTCATCTAGTATTTTAGATTTCTTCAAGACTTTGAAATTATAATCTTCAAAATATTAATGACACTTGAAAAACTCTGTCAATCTAAACATATTTTTTATAAAATATTTACCATAGACACATTTAATTTTAACTTTAAGTCAGATCGATATTTCAAAGCGAAGGCTTTTCACAGATGCCTTAACATGCTTGAGTTTCGAGTCGATAAAATGTTGTTTTGTAATGAACAATATATATATATATATATATATTCTGAAGTTTAAAGATTTTCTAACAACTAAGCATCATTTGTTTGTGATTGTTTTTTTTTCAGGAAGAGGTGGTTTTTAACCTCTTCATGTTTGTTTGATTCTTAGTATAAAACAAACTTTTTGTTTAATTGTACTAAGTTTTTAAGAATCAAAAAATAATACAAATTCTCTCTTTTTTATAAATGATAATTTAAATAATATTTTTTTGAATTAATTAATTATTTTTAATCTTTTCATACTATGATATGTATTTGGTATTGTATTTCAAAAATATGTTTTTATTTAAAATTATATTAAAATATTTTTTTTAAGTATAAACACATCAAAACTATAAAAAATACTTAAAAAAACAGACTTAATATATTTTTTAAAATAAAATATAACTTTAAAACATAAAAAACAGAAATTATTGCATTTTCAAAGTGCTCACTTAACTTTTAATTTCTCTCAGTTTTTGTTTTGTAATGGAAGATTTAATATAATATTCTCTACAAAAGCACATAGGAAGAGGTTATAAGAAGAAACAAAAATAGAAAGAAAAGGGCCTCAGCATGCTCTATGCCAAGTTGAAGAGAGTGGCCATGTCATGGGCGTTTCCAAGTTGGGCCTATATGGCTTGGTCCAAGCTAATTATCAAATATAAGCCAGTCCTAATCACGAGTTAAGTTTCTTAATCAGCAGACATGGATTCTTTTCAGGACCTTTTTGTTGCTCAACGTGGGCCTTTCAAGTTAATACAACCACTGATAATTAACTTTAAATGAAAAAAAGAGTTAAATTAAATATTAAAATTTCTATTTTCAATGCTTTAGTTGAATTATTGCATTTTTTATCTAAAAAATTCATGTTTATTTGTATAATTCTTATAGATAAATGAATTCAAACGAAGTCGAGGTAGGTGGTTTATTAATTAATTCTTTCTTAGACCAAATGATATTAT